GTGTGTGTGTGTGTGTGTGTGTGTGTGTGTAATTGGATATACAATTAGGGAAATATTAATAATTTTAATGTTATTAATTATTAAAAGTAAATATCATTAATTACTAGTTAAAAAAAAGGAAAAGGGCCTAAAGCCCATGTTGGGAAACAAAAGGCTTAAAGCCTTAAGTAAAACAGAACTTGTTCTGTTCAGTCACGCTAGAGGCAAAAAATAAAAGGCTTAAAGCCTTTGGAAAAGAACATAGGTCTAGGAGCAAGAACAGTATCGGTCATTGAGCAGGACCTTCTTTAGGCCACGACTGAGGTAATTCTTTATACAAAATTGTAAGCTATAACATCATTATATACTAGAATCTAACACCCTAATAAGGTAAATTCATAGGAAAGTTTTACAAAACCTAAAGAACACCCATCAAATACGAGTTAAGTTTTTGGTATTAAAAGGTAAATTCTTCATTCTTATTGGATTGCTATGACGGGTTAAGGTTGTTAGAGGCAGTAAAGGATTGTTAGAACAAGACCTCACCCCAAAACTTAGAAATTTTAGAAGTTGAACCTAAAGTTCTTAGAGTTGACAAAAGATTAATGCTTTTGGGAAGTTGGATACTTATTGTGACTTATCATTGTAGTATTTGATCGTTGAGTTCGATTACAAGAATTGGAACTTACATTGTTGCTTGAAAAGAGAAATTGAGGTGAGTTATATAACCCTTTACCAAAGTGGTTTAACTCACAAAAGTATGCATACAAGGTGTTTGATGAATTGGCTAAAAGAGTGAATATGTGCTTAATTGAAGCGAGCGAGTTCCTATTAGCTTAGAATTATTTTTTGTTAAAGTTAGATGAATTATTTTGATATATGTGCATAAATTTTCAGATTTTTGTGTTATTCTTATATGCCATTTTCATGTTGAAAATTCATGAAAAAGCAAGAATATTTAGAAATAGTTTTGAATGTTTATTTCATTCTTATTCCATACCTTACATTCAAGAATTTCAGAATAAGTATGTTCGAAAGATTTAGACTTGAAAAGTCACAAGAAGAAGTTTTAGAAAGAAAAGATTTTTGGGAGTATCCTTTATTCTGAGAAGGGGTCATCGTCCAGGCCGAGGGTCCTGACCAAGGCGTTGACCTCCTGAAACTACTTATGCCAAAGTAGGGAGCACACGAGCTGAGGGTCTCGTTGCTGAGAAATTACTTAGCCATGCTAAGGTATGATACATGAGCGCTGAGAACCATGAAGCGAGTGGCACCTCGTGGATTGGACATATTCGATCAGGTTGGGATCGAACCCGTGCCGATCATACGGTGACTGAGACAGAATTAAGTCAGGATAGTGGAACTCCCAAAGTATAAAGTGAAGCATTTTTTTTATAAGAAAGAAAAAGAAAAGAATTTCTTTTAGAATGTTCATAAACAACTAGTATGCAATTATTTTAGAATTATTCTTATAAGCTTTATGTTTTACATGTATTTAGAACCTTTGCTCGTAATGTATATGTTAGTAAAGTTTCGGCCCCTGTTGTTGAGACTCACTGAGTACAATGGATGGTACTGACGTTCTCTTTTGGGAACCTACGTTGGTCTGCGGTACAACGTAGGAACCGAATTTGCAGGCGAGCAGGCTACGAGTTAGGACTTCCTTCTCTTCCAGTGCTATTGGTGAGCTCCGCTTTTGTTCGTGGAGTATTCCTTAGAATCATCTTTATTTAGTTATTTCTTTGTTACTTAGAGAACTGGCCAGAAAATCTCATGTCCTGAGCAGTGCGTCAGTTTATCAGTAGAGGCTTCATATACATAGTCGTTGGATTTAGATTCAGATGTTTTTGATAATAACTTAGTAGTATTTCATTGGTTACTATGAATAATGTTTTGGAGTTGATTTATTTAAATATTTAAAATTAATCAAAAGTATTTGGTTAGACTATTGCCTTGTTGCATATAAAGTTTGGAGTTATAATAGATTTGATAAGCAGAGATGGTTCACTCGATCATGTTTAGTGATCGAGTACCGGTCCCGGCTTGTTCAGGAAATGGGTCGTGATAGTAAATCCCTAGCTCCCAGGCATCAGGTTCTGTCAGTCTATGATAGAGAATTACTGGCTCTTATTTTTGTTGTTACTAAGTGGTCACATTACCTAATGGGCAATCATTTCATTGTTAAGACATATCAGAAGGCATTGAAGCATTTATTGGAACAACAAGTGCATACTGATTTCCAAGTGGCTGGCATCTCCAAGTTAATGGCATTTGATTTCATTATTGAGTATAAGAAGGGGTCAGAGAACAAGGTTGCAGATGCATTATCAAGGAAACCAGCTGCTGAACTTTTAGCTATTTCTTTACTAACTCCTAATGATTCCTTATATGCACAGATTAAATCATCATGGAGCAGTGATCCAATGCTACAGGAGTTAATAGCTAAACTACAAGTTCAACCTTACAAATCCTACACTTGGTTTAACAACCAACTTAGATGGAAGGGAAGATTAGTTGTGGGCAATGATCAGTAGTTGAAGAAGAACATTATTACCCTATGGCATAGTACTACTCAAGGGGGCCATTCTGGTATGGATGCCACTATTAAGAGGTTACAATCCTTGTTTCACTGGAAATCTCTTGTTGCAGATGTTAGAGACTTTATCAACAAGTGTGATGTCTGTCAAAGACATAAATATGTTGCTGCTGCTTCACCTGGCTTATTACAGCCCTTATCAATTCCTACAGGTGTTTGGACTGATATTTGTCTAGATTTTATTGAAGGCCTTCCCAAGTCACATGGTAAGGAAGTTATTCTGGTAGTAGTAGATAGATTGACAAAATATGGGCATTTTTTGAGTTTGCAACATCCTTATACTGCTCAAACTGTAGCCCAAAGCTTCCTTGATCAAATCTTCAAGCTCCATGGTATGCCTCTTACCATGACTAGTGATAGAGATCCGGTCTTCTTGAGTTCTTTTTGGCAAGAACTTTTCTCTCTTCAAGGAGTACAATTGCAGAGATCTACAGCATTCCATCTACGGATAGATGGTCAATCAGAAGTGCTGAATAGAACTTTAGAGACATATTTGAGGTGTTTTTGTTCAGATAGTCCTAAGGATTAGTCCAAGTACTTGCCCTTGGCAGAGTGGTGGTATAACACTACCTATCATTCCACTATCAAATGCACTCCCTATGAAGCTTTATATGGCCAAAAGCCTGCTATACATCTTCCTTATCTGCAGGGTGATACAGATGTAGAAATGGTTGATAGATCTTTGGATGCAAGGGAAGCCATAATTCAGTTGTTGAAATTCCATCTAGCTAGAGCTCAACAAAGGATGAAGGATACTGCCAACCAACACAGATCTGACAGGTCTTTTGAAATTGGAGATTGGGTATATCTTAAGTTGCAACCTTACAGACAAATTTCAGTAGCTACCAGACCATTCAATAAATTAGCAGCCAAGTATTATGGTCCTTATTCCATTGCAGCAAAGATTGGTTTACTAGCCTACAAACTACTCATGCCTGCTAATGTCCTTATTCATCCCACTTTCCGTGTTTCTCAGTTAAAAAAATGTCATGAAGTACCTGCTATCATCAATCATCCCCCTATACTTCACTTGTCTAGCCCTTATTGTCCTCAACCAGAGTCCATACTAGAAAGGAGGTTAGTCAAACGAGGTAATAAGGTTGTATGCCAGGTTAGGGGCAAATGGACAGGACTTGAAGCTGATTCTGCTACTTGGGAATATCTGCAGGAGCTTCAGACAAGATTCCCATCTTTTAATCCTTGAGGTCAAGGATTTCCTTTAGGGGAGGGTATTGATACACGTTAAAGAGTCGAGCAGAAGAAGAAGAAAAGAAGCAGAAGAAGAAGCTGCATTGTTCCGAGCTGGCAGCTGAGTTGGCATAGTTAGTTAGCTGATGTGGCAAGTTAGTTACAAGTAGTTGCAACAGTTACAATTAGTTAGAAGTTAGCTTAACAGATTGTATTCTAGATTCTTCTAAATGAGCTTATATAGCTGAATCAAATGTAATGGAGATATACTTTTGGAAGTTAATACAATCTACTCTCTCAATTCTCTCTTCTCTTGAGCTATATTCTCGCAATTGCCTGACATAGCCATCACCTTCTTCGAGCTTCAGCTCCTACAATTACTATTTTCCTCTGTTTTTCTGTTTCATTGCATCACCACCTGTCATATTGATTTGTGATTTCATTAGCGTACTGATCAAAACAACACCAAGCACCCTAGCATAATCACAGCAAAATTGATAATTACAAGTGCCACTAAAAAAAGGGAATATTTCGCCCCACGTTGTTTAATATGTTAATCAATAGCAGAATCACCAGTATCATAAATGTTCTGGTCCATACAAAAAATTAAACAGTATTAACGAAATATGGGCTTTAGACCTCCAATCGAAACAAATTACAGCACAACTGTAATTCGCAATGGCAGTTTACAGTCCACAGAATGAAGTTAAATGGAAAACAACACGAATTGGGTGCAAATAGTCATAACATCCTAAGCATTCTGAATATCATGAGCACCATTGCCATCACTTTCCTTGCGCACCTCAGAACCACGTTCCACTGGCTCATCATTTTTCTCTTTTTTGTGGGGTTGATGCTTGTCCTTGGACACTTCATCTGAGTGGTGATGCTTATGGTTGGAACGGTGATGACGGTGATGGCCATGTCGATGATGATTCTTCCTGTGCTTTTCTTTTCTATCTAGTTCCTCATTCTCATCAGAAGATTTACCTAGGGATCTACTTCTATCACGCCTAAAAGCTTCAGAATCTGAGGACCTTGAATCATGACTATGGGACCTGCGATGATGTTTCCTATGTTTTCCGTGATTACTGCGGTTCAGTTTTTCTTCATCACTAGAAGAGACAGAAGCATCTGAGTCAAACCTACCCTGACGTTTATGATGCTTTGTGTGGCTTCGTTTCCTGGAAGAGTCTGAGGAACTATAATCTGAGTGTCTATCATGACGCCTGCGCTTTTTGTGGCCCCGCTTCTTTCTTCTTCTCTCTTCTTCTGAATCACCATCATATTCCTCACTGCTATCATCACTCGAATCGGAGGATCTTCTCTTAGGCTTTCGCTTGGATTTCTTCTCCTTCCTATCCGAATCACCCGACTCAGAGCTATGGTGCTTCCTATGCTTCTTGTGGTGCTTTTTGGCGGATTTTTTCCCTTCATATCCACTGTCAGTGCCGCTGGCACTACCACACTCCAAGTCCGATTTCCTTTTATGCTTAGCCGCCTTGGCATTCTCTCTAGCTTCAGCATCAGAGATCGCTTTTGCTGCAGCTTCAAGTTTTTGCTCCCATTTCAAGCGGGCTTCATTCTTCTCAAGAGCTCTCTTCTTTTTCTCCTCGACCAATTGCATGAACTTCTTGGCATCCATTCAGAGGTAAAAGACAAACAAACTTCTGCATTTTGGTATGATGATGACCAGAAGTGCATCTCAAAGAAGAGAAAGGAAACAATGTTAGTTCTTCCATCATTAATACCCACCATTGAACGAGAGCATATTTCACATGAAGGAAGTAAAATGTACTTCAAACTTAACAAAAACAACCAATTTAACGGCAAATGCCCATAGTGAAAGCAGCATATATGATGCTATTAACCAAAGAAAACCTACCAAGAGAATAATAAAGGAATGTGGATAATTACGAAATGATGCACAAAGGAAAAAAACTTCAGGTTGTAAAAAAAAAAAAGTTTAATTGCAATATAATATCAAACCATAGTTCCACATTCACTAATGATACGGGAAAAACAATTTGTCACTGTAATAACTTAGATATATCACAGGCTCAAATCTCATATATAGAATTAGAATGTTTATATCCCTTGAGTAACATATTATTTGAGAATAAAATGCTATAAGCCAGATTCAGTATTGTGCATCACAGATATGGCAAACAGCTACAATTAAAAGCTACCAACCACCAAGCCAAGCACCATAACGATGCAACACAACATGTGATTCAATATTCATCATTGTCATTGACTTACACCTACTTGTGTCTCTATCTTAGCTACTTTGCATTATGGAGTCCATCAATCCGATGTTAAACTTCAGAAACGAGCATCACAAATACATATGATGGATTAACTGAACGGAAAACACACAGACCATAACTGAAACAAATAGGTGAGAGCTCAAATAACACAGCTTTGGATCCCTTTCAAACAAGATCAAAATACACTGCATTGGACCATGAATCTGGACCAAAATAACAAAGATCTCACAGTATAATTTTGATACTTTTAGATGTTTTCCTTTGTCAACTGGACAAGTATTCCATTTTACTAACCTAACCTCTCCAAGCTGTTCAAATGAAGCTATAATTGATGGGCGCAATGATGCAAAACTGAAAAAGGAAAAGAATTGCAAACTGGAACAGGTTTCTTACCTTATACAATGAAATCGCTGACCAAAAGTCCAATTCTCAAGCTCAGATTACCCCTCCAACTAACTTCCAAAAGAATCTGCATTCAACCCCAAAAAAAGTGGTTATACTATTTTCACAGTTAACCAATTGAATACCAGACTCAAGATTCAAGAGAGAATGCGTATCAACCCAGACAATCTTTAGATAATAATCAGCTCTCAAGTTGAATTTTTTATAGCAAAAACAGAAACCCAATAACGAAAGAGTAATAGGCTGAGTGCAAAAACTTAGAGCCCTAAAGATTCAATTTTTTTAGGCGGAACAAAGACCAAGCAATTTTAAACACAACCCCCATTTCCCGAACCAGTTTCTTTCCAACCCAAAACAAACACAAAAAAGTGTTTTTTCCTTCTTCTTTTTTCCGCATAATTTAAAGCCTGTTCTCTTGAAAAACCCAAAAGCCACTTCAATAACTCATATAACAGGATCCAAATTTTGCAGAAAATAAGATCCAGACCCAGCTCAGTATTATTCGATTTGATCATACATCTTCTAACCTATCAGGCTCTAAATAACAAGATTTTCAACATAAATTGAAGCAACACAATTAAACCCTAGAATGCTAGTAAGGGCATCAAATAAAATTCACCAAAAATCCAAATTTTACTTATTAAAAAAATCCAATCCACCTCAGTATTAATCGATCTGAAGATAAATCAAACTCCTCAGACTATATATAACGAGATTTTCAACATAAATTGAAGCACCAGATTAAAACCCTAGAATGCTAGTAAAGGCACCAAATAAAATCCACCAAAAAGTAAACAAAATTTTTAAGTAGCTAAAGTTTTTAGATGATATACCAGAGCAATCGGAAAAGAGAAGAATTTGGGAGATTTGAAAAAAGAAGATGGGGCTTGAACTCGTTGAGAGAAAGGAGGTGCTCAATTTTCTAGAGAGTTCGAAAGCTAGAGGAATTGGGGCTATTTATAGAAAACAGGAAAAACAAAAAATGGGGCTAAGAGGGACGAATTTGAAATTATTTGCGTGTTGTGAACTCCAACGCGGTGTAAAACCGGGTTGCTAGGAAATGGGTTCAAACTTTCTCTTTTTCCTTTTTTTGAAATTATTTTTTAATTTCGTTTTCCAATAATAGGAATTAGGAACTTGACAAACTAGTCCTAATTGATCGAAGGGGTATTATAATTTTACTCCCTTCGGTTCACAATAAGTAACCAATTTACTTTTAGCACGCTCATTAAGAAAATACTAAATTCTATACAAAAATACCTATTATGACTAAACTAGCCCTAATTAAACATTTAATGTGAGGAGTAAGAAAACTTTTTAGGGATATGTACATAGGGGTTATTTTGTAAAAACAAATTGAAAACTTTCTTGATTACATAACTGGACACTTATTTTGAACCAAAATGAAAAAGCAAATTGGTCACTTATTGTGAACCGGAGGGAGTAGCTCGCGTCAGAAACTATTTATATTTAATAGACGAAAAAAGTGTTGCATTTTGTATTAAGGGGTGTGAATGGGAAATGGAAGAAGCACCTCTTGGTTTGCACATCTTCATCTCACCCTTCATTGTTTATAAATTTAGAGGCTTGGCCTCATTTTACAGATATGGAAAAATCTGAAATCTTCTCCCCTTTTTTCTACATTGTTGCACTTCTAAATAAACATAAGTGTCAAGTGTGATTTGCTCCGTTTGTTGAGTTTGCCGAAGTTCTGTGATTTGAAGTGTCGCTATCACAGAATAGTTATTCCGTTCTATCCTGGGAGGAATTAATCCGTATACCTTGGCCAACAGTGAGGGGATTAAATTCTCTAAGGCACACGGTGAATTCAGTGAGCTCGGAATTATTTTTGCATTTTTTGTTCTAAGTTCTATTTTTCTGATTTTAAACACCGTAATACCAATAATCTTAAGGAATTTGTATTTATTTTCTGTGTTCATATCTTCATATTAATATTTGTTGGAGAATAGAACGTTAAAGGTGAAATCCTTATAATTGATTGTGCCTTGAAGTAAGATGTTGATTGAAATCATGAAGAAATGGCAACAGTGATGCAGAGAATGTCTTTAAATCCACTAGTCTAGACATTAACCAATTACGGGTGAAGGCAAAGGAAAAAAATAATTCCTTTCTTTCAATTTCACAAGGTACTAATGTTTTAAACATTTGATATCCAAGAATTCTTCCAAGGTATTCTTGGATTATGTCATGTCAATTGGCAAAGAACGAAAACAACGTGATTACACGGTCACGTTAATGTCAGTGTTTTATGCCTATAGTGTAAACAGGAGAAAAGATTTTTATTTTCCTTTTCTTTTGTTGCTATCCTCTTACGAGAGTTCTCCCAGAAACACCAGAGATGGCAATAGGGCAGGGCGGGGCGGGTGAAGTATTGCCCTGCCACAAATTCAACCCGCCTTGCCCCGCCCCATTTAACAGTTTTTTTCTTTTTCAACCTGCCTCGCCCCGCCCTACTTAGCCCTGCCCCGCCCCGCCCTACTTAGCCCTGCTCCGCCCCGCCCTACTTAGCCCTGCTCCGCCCCGCCCTGTTTAGCTCCTTTTATCTTTCTTTCTTTCCTTTTAAGTTTAGAACCGTAAATCATCCATGTGATTATAGAAAGAAAGAGGAACAACTTCAAAGCAACAAAATATGATTTCCATGATAAATTTGGTAATGGTGTGGCTTTGGTTTGCATGTCGTAAAATTACTTTGTAAATTCTTTTCTAATGCTTGTCGTAAATGTAGGGGGGAAAAAGATTCATGAATCATGTTAAGTTGCTGGGTACTTTTTCTGAGTTTGCAGCTCGCTAAGGAATTCACAAAAATAAAAATTTCATTCTCTATTAAGGCTATTCTAATTTCTGAACATCATATTGATACCCATTTCTGACTCTTACATGCTCTAGCGAGAAAGAAAAGTAACAGAGAGGTAATAAAAGCAGAAGAAAAACTAAAATAGCTACAGAAATATGCACACCCAAGTGAAGAATATTCCAGTTTGTTGTTTGTTTGCTTGTGCTTGCAGCAAAAATCCTACCCCTATACCTACCCTGCCCCATTTATTATTTTCTGAAAATATGTTTTGACCCGCCCCGCCCCGCCCCGCCCTGCCCTGCCCCGTTAAGACTTTGCTCTGCCCTGCCACATTAAGATTTTTCCCTGCCTAGCCCTGCCTCGCCCCGCCCCATTTGCCATCCTTAAGCACCAGATATTGTGGTAGCAATTTTTCGAAAGAGATCCAGATTCAAAGAGAATGTGACTAGTGATTTATGATCGAGTTGCTACAAAAATTTGAGTAGATGTTTATTATGTGATAATTTCATATATATTGAATTGTATGCATGAGTAGAAATAACATGCGTTTACTGTTAAGTTTGTTATTTCTTTGACCAAATGGAAAAACTATTAGTAGTTGATATGCAATTTGGTGGCATGCATGGTATCTTTAAGGTTGTAAGACATGAGTAAGGCTTACAGTAATACTTGAAAATATTCTTGAGATCATATAATATATAAAGATGGACATATATATGTTTGATTAGAGAAAGAGGTCAAACTGTTTAAAGTGTTATAATGGTTTAGTAGAAAAACCATTTGAAAGGGAATTAAAATTTTCGTAATTTTTCATATCCGTTATGGAGAATAAAATGTCGTGATTTTCTACTCCTGCTCCGAGATAAAAATCTGCGTGATTTTTTACTCGTTCGTTGAGATTAAAGTTTTCGTGACTTTCTACTCATTTATCGGAAATTAAAGTCTAAGTGACTTTATACTCATTTTGGAGATTAAAATCTTAGTGATTTTCTACTCTAATTTATTATTCGGTTTGAAGATTAAAAACTACATCGTCTACTAAATTTGATTGTGTCACAAATTATAAGGTTTAAAGATTAAAAACTTCACCGTTTATTAGATCTAGTTGGATCAGATGTTACTCGGTTTGAAGATTAAAAACTTCACCATTTATTAATTCTGAATGTGTCAGATTGGTTTGAAGATTAAAAACTTCACCATTTAATAATTCTGGCTCTGTCGTGACACAAACAACAGTTCTTGTGGTTGGCTCAACAATGTAATAGGGGTGTCGAATATGAATCTCCTTTTGAAGAAATATGTTTGGAATATGAAATTATTCACCAAACGATCGCCCCTTAGTCACCGCAATCTAATGAAATTGCGGAAAGAAAGAATAGAATGTCAAAGGAGACGATGAATGCCTAGTTGATAAGTTCTGGTTTACCCAAAACTTGTAGGGTGGAAGCTATGATTACAGCTAACCGAATGCTCATTCGAGTTCCCCATAGCAAGAAACAATCCATTCTATATGAAAAATAGAAAGGAAGAAAAGCCAACTTGAAATATTTCCAACTGTGGGGGGTTATTTGGGTAAAGTGCAAGTTCTTAAACCCAAAAGGATAAAAATCGGATCGAACATCGTTGATTCCGTTTTCATAAGATATGCAACAAATAGTAAAGCATATCGTTTTCTGATTCATAAATCAGAAAATCCTGGCATTCATATTAATACGGTAATCGAATCAGATAATGCTAAATTCTTTGAGAATATTTATCCGTATAAAATGGGATGTGATTCGTCTAGTGAAAATCTAAGCGAACTCGGGAAGCAGCAAAGGAAAGTACGTTGAATTAGGAAAATCTAAGACGTAGACATTCTTGTTGGAAAATGAGCCTCAAATGTTTAAAGAAATATTGTCTTCCTCGGAAGCACAATATTGGAAAAAGGCAATCAATAGTGAGATAGAATCCATATTAAGTAATCATACCTGGAAAAATGATTGATCTTCCTCCGGGAAATAAACCTTTGGGTTCTAAGTGGATTTTCAAAAGAAAAATGAAAGCTGATGGTACTATTGACAAATATAAGGCAAGATTGATTAAGGATTAAGACAGCGAGAAGGTCTTGATTACTTTGACACATGCTCATCGGTAACAAGAATTACATCTATTCGGATGGTAATAACGTTAGCCACCGTGTATGGCCTTGAAATCCATCAGATGGACGTAAGACAACCTTCTTAAATGGATATTTGGAGAAACAAATTTATATGGAACAACCTGAAGGGTTCGTGGTTCCTGAAAAAGAAAGAAGGTGCATCGACTTGTTAAGTCACTTTACGGACTAAAACAAGCACCCAAACAATGACATGTGAAATTCGACTAGAAAATATTGTCAAATTGTTTCAGAATAGTGTATTTACATTAAGAATACTCTAAATTATGTAGTCATTGTTTGTTTATATATGGATTATATGTTGATAGAAAAGGCACATGAAACATGTGAAATGTGGAGGCATTTAGCTTATGCATAACAAAAGCTAATGTTAGACGTGATTTCTATATTATTTAGAAGAACTAGATGAATGATTCTTCTAACCCCACGAATTCTTAAGGATATTGATATGGTAGTCGGTGAATTCATTACTTGTTCAGTCTTAGTGATGGCTAGTGATGAAACTACAAATTCGAAAGTTGTTTACGTGCCTTTCCGGAAATGTTTGTTCTTTCTTGAGCATTTATAATGTTTAGCTCTTTTATGAAAGAGTGTCACCTGGAAGGCTGTGACTTTTCATGAAAAGTGTGTTTGTAGGTCTTGTATAAACAAGATTGTTCATAAACGAACATATTAATACGTTGGTCTATAATGAGGTGAACAAACCGATGAACATGACCAAAATTCATTGGAAGTTGGATTTATTTCATAAATGAAGGTGCTATAATTTGCATATCATATAGATGTATGAATAAATAGTATACACATGCTTGAAAATGGCGGAATGATTGCGAAATGTGTTATATATTAAAAGGTATTGGCCACAATTGATGCCAATCATTCCAGTAGTTGTTATGATATACTATTACTACATTAAGTGTAGTCAATAATCTGATATGAAATCGAAAGTCGAGATGTATTAGTCTACGACATAAGAAAGTTTGCATTGAACTTTCATGACAATGAAACGAGTTTTGAAGTATTTGCAATATACTCCAAATTATGCTTTGCACTATAATAAGTATCCCACGATAGTAGAGGGGTATAGTGATGCAAATTAGATCATCGGTTCAACCGATTCTAAATTGTCGGTGGAGGAGCGATATCTTGGAAATCGTCCAAACAAATGTGCTTTGACCGCTCTGCAGTGGAGGCTGAGTTTATAGCCTTAGACAAGGCCGGTGAAGAAGTTGAATGACTCCGGAATTTCTTGGAAGATATTCCATTGGCCCAAACCTTTGGCACCTATATGTATACATTGTGATAGTCAGGCGGCAATAGGCAGGGCAGAGAGCGCTATGTATAACGAAAAATCTCGTCACATTTGACAGAGACACAATACCGTTAGACAACTACTCTCTAGTGGTGTTATTACGATTGACTACGTAAAGTCAAGAGATAACGTGTTCGATCCACTTACAAAAGGCCTATCTAGAGAGGCAGTTGAAAGATCATCGAAGGGAACGGGGTAAGGCCTAGGACAGGTCATCATGGCGGTAACTCTACCTAGCAGACTAGAGATCCCAAGAGCTAGGTTCAAAGAGATCAAACAAAGTTATGAATGACGGTTCAACATTGTCAAATAACTCAACCCATTCTCATGATGAAGACAATATTCAGAAATCAAGGTAAAGCATTAAGGCTTTTTGATGAGTCAATAAAACTTAAAGCTTTTTAATGATTTACTAAGTCTGGCAGGATATGACCAGATAGTGTGCCTATAGGATTACACGTTTAGAAATCACCTATGTGAGTGTGAAGTGTAAGCCGCTTTAAGGGAAATGAAAGTAAAGGGCCATTCTCTAAGCACTCATGAAACCAGGCGGTGTTCATGGCTGAAACGAACACAACCTTGAGAACCAAAGACGGTTATGGATTGATTGTGTGACTTGTGGTTGTCAAGGTATACACCAAAGCTCGACGGTTCAAAGATATCAAATCTATCGATTGACCGAGTATACCCGACATAAGTTCACTACGGAAAGTTCAAAGGAAAACCTACTTATCCAGATGCGATTAATCCTTACTTGCGAATCACACAGTATTTTCATGCATGTTTTTTCTCATATGACCATTCCCCGTTCATGTGGGGGATTGTTGCGTTTTTATTAAGGGGTGTGAATGTGAAATGGAAGAGGCACCTCTTGGTTTGCACCTCTTCATCTCACCCTTTCATTGTCTATAAATTTAGAGGCTTGGCCTCATTTTTCAGATATGGAAAAATCTGAAATCTTCTCCCCTCTTTTCTACATTGTTGCATTATCTTCTAAATAAACATAAGTGTCAAGTGTGATTTGCTCCGTTTGTTGAGTTCGCTGAAGTTCTGTGATTTGAAGTGCCGCTATCACAGAATAGTTATTCCGCTCTATCCTGGGAGTAATTAATCCGTATACCATGGGCAACAGTGAGGGGATTAAATTCCTTAAGGACACACTGTGAATTCAGTGGGCTCGGAATTATTTTTGCATTTTCTGTTCTAAGTTCTATTTTTCTGATTTTTCTGATTTTGAACACCGTAATACCAACAAAAAGTGTATATATATATATATATATATATATATATATATATATATATATATATATATACAAAATATAAAAATTTTATTATATTTTTTCGGTTATTATTTTTACAACAGCTATAGAGTGTCATTTTTCCTTGATCAAAACACTAGCTCAATTAAGCTAAAGATTAATTGGGCTTGGTTTGGTCTTAAACTGCGCTTCAACTTAATTAGATCGGTCGAAAAGTTTCATAGTGTGTCTCACAAAACGAACATTAGTTGTGTGAGACAAAATAAAACTTTTCAGATTGACCGGACAACATCTTTTACTCTATTTTTTTTTGTTTTGCATGCTTGTCCGCTAAAATGATGTAACTATATTGCATAATGATGTGTAAGGATATATTGTAGTAATTAGCTACTTTATAATGTTAACAACTTTAAGGATATTTCTATCTTTTTAACAGAAAAAAGTATTTACCAACACTTGTTTATCAAACACTTCAACAACTTTTTTTTAAACTTCAGCACTTTTATCCAAACAGTTAACTGCTTATTTATAAAATAAGCTTGTGATTAAAAGCTACTTTTTTCCGGTTAATCCAAACATGCTCTATAATTCACAACAATGCGTAACACTATAATATTAGCATGATTAAACCGCTATATAAGATACAAATTGATAAGCACAAAGGATAAGTTTAGTTATTAATCTATGTTGATTGATGAGATGACCACATATAGAAGAATGCTTACTACCAACATGGGTTGTTGTGGCTGGAGGGAGTTTTCGGTAAGATTTTTTTTAGGGGAACGCTTTTTAAATGGGTCTTACGTGGCGCGAATCTAAGTATAGTAATGGGTCTTATGTGGCACGAATCTAAGTATAGTAAAATTTCAGTGCGAATACCGTTTATCGGGTGGGAAACAAAAAAAAAAAAACAGAGAAGAATGCTTACTCTTTGTTACGATCCTTGTTTATCACGAGCAAATTGTTTTGCAGCTCGATACTGGTTATTGCTTTTTTTTTTGAACCCCCAATTTAGGAGGATCTATAGTATTTTCACACTTCCCTTCCAGTATAACTCGAACCCAGGACCTCATGATCGTGAGTGGAAGTGCTTTACCAACAAAGCAAGCCACACTTGTCTGCTATAAACTTACGTATAAATAACAAGTGAAAAAACTACTCCCTCCGGTTCATAATAAGTGTCTAATTTACTTTTTCATTTTGGTTCAAAATAAGTGTCTAGTTATGTAATCAAGAAAGAATTCAATTTGTTTTTACAAAATAATCCCTATGTACATATCCCTAAAAAGTTTTATTGCTCCTCACATCAAATGTTTAATTAGTGGTAGTTTAGTCATATTAGGTATTTTTGTATAGGATTTAGTATTTTCTTAATGGGCGTGCTAAAAGTAAATTGGACACTTATTGTGAACCGGAGGGAGTACTATAGTAGCTTTTGATCATAAAATAGGAAATATATTTTTGTTGTCATTGATTTCTGGAATAATTACGATCTTATAGAAGTAAATATATTTAAGGCAGTAATATAATTAATTTTAGACGAAAATAATCTTATACATATATGAAATCTATAGCTACATGAGAGCTAGTTTATCATTTTAGGAAGTAGCGGTATTCCAACATAAAGAAACTTTTGAATTAACTTAAGAGAAATTTAACAAAAAATGATTACTACTATTTACATTTTCATTTTTACACAATTAGAAGTTAAAGGTCTATCTCCATTGATCTATTATTAACTCACTGGTCTTCTTCTGATCATCAATAGACCTCGTGGTATTTATGTGATCTTTTATTCCTAGTCAAAATAGAAAATACTTTTCGACAGAATTAAAATTCGAGTTACGGAATCGATAAAATTCAATAATTTTGGTCAAAATCACCCACTAAATTATATTTTTAGAATCTAATCCTCTGTCCATAGACTTTTCTTTTTCCCTTTTTCCAGATTTTTTTAAAAAACGTATTTGTTCATAAAAGTTTGCAAGTTTTTGGAGATTTTTTGAAACCTTATTCAAAATTTTCAGAATTTTTTTCTCTCTCACAAAATTGCGATATTTTTCAAGTAAAATTCATGTACAAACATAATGTTAATTTTTAAATATTAATTTAACTCCAAATACTATTTTAAAAATTATAAATTTATGTCCAAATGCCTAGTAAAATTCATAAATTCAGAATTCTAATAAGTTTCTAAAATGCTTTCATAAACTATAATTTTTAGATCATTATATAAAAGGAATTTTGGTCTTTGCTAGTGTTTATTTCTTCATTTGCCCCCTAAAATATGAAAGGTAAAATATTTCTTCCTTTCATGCTAAGCAAACAAACATTTATTGGTGGAAAAAAAGAGAGAATGGGAAACAAACAACATTTATAGAAATTGTCAAAATTTACAATAAGGAAACAAATGGAAAATTTGGGAAAAAATAGCACCAAAATACGCGCTTGAATTCATCGCATAAGCTCTAAACACAAACTCTGTATCTATTGAAATCATCACTGCTACAAAAAGGTCACCGGAAACCATGGCGTCACCGTCGTCAACGGCGGCGACAAACGTCATGTTAGCAATCTTCGAGAAGAAAACCGTGTCACTCGATCTCTACCGTCCATTACGAAACTACATCGCTTTCAACTACTCCGAACGGGAAGCTCAAAACCTCGAAGATGATCTCCAAACTCTCAAGCAATACCGCTCCGAAATCGAACGCGTTCCGGCCGATTCGCTCCCTGCTCGCCGTGACATTCTGCAAAATTACTATAAAGCCCTCTGTGCTGTTGAATCTCGTTTTCCGATCTCACCTGATAAAGATCACATCAATTCCGTGTTTTTTACTTGGTACGATACTTTCAAGAACAAGCAGAAAGCTGTGCAGCAGAATATTCATCTAGGTATATTGAAGTACATTTGATTTGATTTGACTTCAAATTATGCGTACAATAGGTGATGCGTGAATTACAATTTAGAATTGCTTCACTCTTGCTTTGAGCTTCTACATTGTTCATACTTTCTCTTTTCTTCCCTTCTCCTTTGCTTCTTGTTTATTGTACAACTTATAATGCAGAAGTAGAAAAAAAATTCGTCGTACTTTATCTTAAGCTGCTACATATATTGGTCTTACTTTCCTTTCCAAATGAATTAAGCATCTTGGAATTTGGATTTGGGATAACGTTGGAATTTGCTCCAGAGATATTAAAACTTTGAAAAGATTTAAACTTTAAAAAGATTAAAATTTTAATCGCCTGTTGCAGATGGTAAAGAGATTATTTGGAGGTTGGTCCTGTTTGGTTTGGATTCTGGAAACTGGACCGGATTATTTAGAAATGCTGTTATTAGTTAATGGACTCTATCAGTTTCATTGAAATAATTTGGTTAGTTGCTAAAGTTGATATTTTCGAAGAGTAACTATTACAGCATAGTCAAAAGTGAAAAGCGAAAAAAGCGCCAAGGTTTGTTGGAGCTTTAAGCACAAAGCGCCAATGGAGAAAAACAAAAATAGCAAAAAATTATGTAACTGCAAACACAAACAATAATTATTTGGACAAAAGAATGAAACTTAAGCTATATATATGATGTTGTGCACTTTAAGACAGAACCAATCACCACCAATGGAAGTGCACACGCCTTAGCACCTTGACGCCTACACTAAAGCGCCAATTAAGTGAGGCGAAGCGCACAACCTGGACTTACCGAGTTTCAGGGCTTAAACGCACTTTAAGTGAGCCTTTAGCAACACTGGTAACTTACCGTTCTATTTGGACATCTAGTTTAATAGAAAACAGTGATTATATAAGTAGAAAGTCCAAAACCAAACAGGGCAAAGGTATTTAATAATTAGTTTCATTTCAATATCTCAATGATCATTAAATTCAAACATGTACCTTCTCAATATAATATGGTGATCTTATGAATTGACAGAAGTCAATTTATGCTTAGTATCATCTTGTTATATTAGTAATCTAGCTTTTTATTTTTGGTTTGCCGCAGAGAAAGCTGCAGTTTTGTTCAATCTGGGAGCAGTGCACAGTCAGATGGGTTTGAGTTTGGATCGATCAGCTGTGGAGGGGCGAAGGCAGGCATCACATTCCTTTATTGCTGCAGCTGGGGCTTTTGCGTTCCTGAGAGACAATGTGGCAATGAAGGCATCAATGGGTAGCTCCACCACGGTTGACATGTCAGTGGAATGTGCTGGGATGTTGGAAAGACTCATGCTAGCTCAGGCTCAGGAGTGCGTTTTTGAGAATACTATTGCCAAGGGAAGCACCCCTGGAGTCTGTGCAAAGATTTCAAGACAGGTTCTCTATTGGTTATAATACCTTATTTATTTCAGCCTTTGCTACTTCATACTTTCTGTGGTTTAGTCAACTTTTTAATTGATTGTATGGAAAATAACAAACACTTGACATGCATACGATTCAACGAAATGCATTCTTGATATTTGATAATATATTAAAAATAGCCATTCTGGATATTATGTTGGCAATGACATTTTCTGATTTGTCTGCTGTTTTGGTGTAAGGTGGTGAATTTTCTCTTTGCACTAATACATGCAACATGTAATTTTAAAATGAGCACTGCACATATGATTACAGGCAGGGATTTATTACGAGGAAGCTTTGGCAGCATTAAATGTTGCACCTCTGAACTACCACTTTGACAAGGGTTGGCTGGCTCATGTTCAGCTCAAGGCAGCCTTGTTTTATGCTGAGGCCTGCTATAGGTACGGTATGGAGCTCCACGATAAAGAAGAAATTGCAGAGGAAATTGCGAGGTTGAAGAGTGGGATTAGTGCATTGTCTGAGGCCAAAAAAACATCACCAAGGGGAGCAGCGCAGCAGCTCTTGGATGCAATTAATAAGCTCGAGGCTAATTTAAATCAAAACTTGGCGAGAGCTGTGAAGGAGAATGATAGAGTATACCTCATGAGAGTTCCTCAAGCCAGTTCTCTGGCTCCTCTTCCAGCATTTTCATTGGTCAAGCCTATGCCAATGAATGATGTCCTGGATGCAAGCAAGGAGAAGATGTTTGCCAGTCTTGTTCCTGATAACAGCGCTAAAGCTCTTTCCAGGTACACCGAAATGGTTGATGACGTCATTAGGTCTCAAGCTGAGAGATTGCAACGGGGAAGTGAGCTAGCTCGAGTTAGGCTCAGGGAAATGGACTTGCCTGATTCTATTCTTGCTTTGGAGGGAAACTTGACTCTGCCCATGGCCTTAAAAGAAGATGTAGAGGCAGTTCAAGTTTGTGGTGGTCCAGCTGGTTTAGAAGCTGAGCTGCAGCAGCTCAAAGATCTGAAGAGGGTGAACCAGGAATTACTGGTCCAAACTGAGGAGCTTTTGCAAAAAGAAGCAACAGAAGATTCTCAATTTAGAAGTCAATTTGGAACACGATGGACAAGGCCTCAATCTAGTACTCTAACAAAGAACCTACAGGACAGATTGAACAGGTTTGCAGGTAACTTGAAGCAAGCTGCAGAGAGTGATGCCAGGATTGAACGATCTGTGAGGGATCATGCAGCACTCATGTCAATCCTTGATCGCCATCCAGTATGTATTTATTTAGCATTTAGATTCTTTGTGAAACCTTATTTTAGATAACTAGTCATGTGATGCGTATTTAGCTCTGTCAAATGAACTTTACTCATCAAGACATGTAGAAAAGATATGTGACGTTCTATGATGTTGGTTCTGTACATAGACATATTATTAGTGGGTGTTCTTAGGATAGTTGTCAAATTGTGGAAATTGAGTTCATGAGCTTTCAAAGATAAAATCTGTCAATAGCTTGTGCCATTGGGAGAGCTTGGTGATTTTCTTAGTATGTATTTAATATATGCTGCCATTCTTATTTTAACCGGTTAAAATGACTAGATTTGAATTCGTAGATATCTGATTTTGACGACACAACTTTGAAGTGCTTGCTCTTTAGTTTGTTGTATGTATAAGCCATGTTATAGTTAAAGTCATTACTTACATAATTATATATCTCCTGGAGTGGCTAGCAGAAGCATAGGCTAACCTGTGTATTTTTCTCTATGATAGATTGAATCAGCTCTTCCAACCTTGGCAAGACCAATCATGTCGTTGGATGCCAATGAAGACGCCATTGCGGGAGCTCTGAAGCAGAGCTTGGTAAGACGAGTTAGCCAGGCTACATTGTGTTACTGTTCTTGCTGTATCCTTTATTGTGGGTTATGTAACCGTGTTTCTAGAGTTGCTATAGAATATTCTCTTGAAAACACCTCACTATAGATGCTTATTAAAGAATGTTACGGGTTAATATAACCTATTTATTTAAAAGAAAGTATACAGCACCTGTATGTTTTCTTATAAAGGTATAGCTGCTTTCAGTTTGAAAATTGTCTAATTACTTGTAATACAGAATCAAGTACTTTTTTTCTTCAGAGACTCCATGTAAAAATTTATGCTGCAAGTGGTGTATTAAAAGAATACTCTATTAGTGAATACAAAAAGAGAACATGAACATCGTAAGTAACAACAGTAGAAAAGAAAGCTTAACATCAAGCCTGATTAATGAAGTTCAATAAATTTGAGCAATTGTAGCCTGATAATCTTGTTTAAAGTCCTCTCGGGTCGAACAAATCAATGGGCCAGTTTGGGGTGTTGTGAAGCATGTAAGCCGTGCATGTTGCAAAAGTAGTTTGGAAAATAATGACAGATGCAAAAATAGTTGAATTTCTTCCTGTCTGCCTAAGCCCTGGTAGACAACGTTACCCGGTACTTGTGCTGGTGGGAGGTAGCTGGTGGAATAGTTGAGGTGCGTACAAGATGGCCCGGATATTACTATTCTATAAAAAAGATCGTGACTTTTGTTGGATCCATTTTATGAAATATTTTGTTTACTGGATGAACAATCTTTAAGTTGCAGCCACAATAATAGTTTTCACAGAAATATTTCTCAAAAAATAAAAATAAAGAAATAACTACCTCCACAGACTCATTCAAGTTAGTGGTGCTTATATTTGCAGAGACAATTAGAAGGTCTTGGTGCTCAGCGGGCAGGGCTCGAAGATATGCTGAAAGAGATGAAGAGGAAGGTATGATAACATAGCCACTTGTACCTTAGTGTAACTTTTGACTTCTTATTTTAAAGAGGTGGGCATATTTTTAAGTCCGAAACTTTTAGCTAATATATAGTCATTATGTATGTACTGTTTTAGCTCATAGGATTGTTGAACAAGTATGATCTTTTGAATTCCTCGAAAGAAGGGAAACAAAGGTTATTGCTAGTTCACATGTAAGAGGTCTTATTTTGTCTGCTACTTGACAGTACTTATCATGGTACAAGCACATAAGCTTGCACCAAAGTGAGCAAAATAATATGTTTGCTTAAAGTATTGTGGACTAGTAAATAAATCCTCATTTGCTTAACAACCCAAAAAATAAAGAGGAACGTTGCATTTGGTCGTCCTGGCAATGATGGCCTATTCATTGTATGTTAGTGAATTTCTTTTGGTGCAGCTAATTTTATGTGCTTGGTCCTTTTGGGGGCATTATAGTGTATCGTGACCCTAGTTTTGGTTATGTATTTTAGCTACTTCTTGTTAAGTCTACCAGATTCTCAGAGCTTCCATTTCCTTTTGGAGCTTAGGAAGTCAAACAGATTCCTCCTTAGTACATTTAAAATAGGATTAGTCTTAAAGAAGCTTAACACATAAGGTTAACACTACTTCATCATTCGATTCAGTGGTTGCTCTTCAATCGTCATCCATCTGCAACAGGTCACTGAAAATGAATTGCACTTTGTCTTGGTCAAACATTTCTGTTTCCATCGGGAAGGTTCTTGTTTCTTGGTATTTGTTCTGCTTCTTTGCTCACTGATCCAGGATCGGCGAGATCCAGCTTTACCATTTATATTGTGGGGTATTGCACAGGATGATATACTTCCTAAGCTGATGACATCCACTGGTTCCCATGAGGATCTATTCAGAAAGGAGATTGCAAAATATGATCATATTTGTGAAGAAATTGCACAGAACCTTGAGGCGCAAGAACAACTGTTGCTGCAAATTCAGGTCCGATATAAAGTTTCTATATCTGGGAAATTTCTTTTTACTACTCTTTTCTTTCTGATGCTGAAGCATCTGCATTAAGCTTTAAATATCATGACTATTCTAGGGATATTGATCTGGCAAATTGATGATGCATGTATTGCACATTCTAGCCTTTTGCATTTTCTTCCTTTTCTGTGATTAAATATTTTATTTATCTGGCTTAATATTTTGGAGTAGTATAGGAACAATAAAAAAATGCTTAACATTTGAGGATCTTTGTGGAAAATTAAAGCTGAATGATAAAAAAAAATCCCATTTTCTGAGCAGAACAACTTACAATGACTTTATTATTTCAATGTATCTCTTTGAATCCTCTCTAACAATATTTTTCATTTGCAGACTCAAAATGAGGATTTTGCTTCCATTTTCAATCTTGAGGATTATAAAGGTACGTTTTAATCTGCTCTATCTTTCAGGGATATTGTCTGAAGCATTGTGAAGCTTTGATTTTTACTGTTCCTTGTGGCACTGGGAAACAAGTTTTGTATGTGCACTTGTTCACTTTACTAACTGGAAAAGATATTTAGTAGGTTGCAGATGTAGTTGCAGTCTCTTGTTTTTGCAAGTTGGTTCCCCCAGGAACATGGTGAACTGCTGGCTCACCCATATTAAGATATGTTTCCACTTTTATGATATGCATTTGCTGGACGGGATGCGCGAGGCTCTGGGTTGTTGCGCCAGGGTGTCTGTTTTTTCAGTTATGAGTGAATCTTTACCACTTTAAAAGTTCAGCTCAGGAAATATGTTGGTCATTACAAGATAAAGGGAAAAAAAGAGGGTACTCAATATGAGCATGACTGATCAATGTGGATGGTTTTCAAAGGAGGTGACTTCGATTTAGAGAAAAAGTTTGTGGAAAAGGATTACGGGGACAAAATAGTTTTTTAAGAAAATAAAAAAATTCAGGGTTTCTGCTAGGAATTGTGAGGTTTTTGCTTGAAATGTCATGTGGTGATACAACATTGAAAGATACTAACAAGAGACTTTTTCACTAACGCAAATAAAATGTCAATTAGCAAAGACCAATTTAGTATTCTTATTTAGCAATATGAGAAGCGCAGAAACATAATGACCCAAAAGTAATGAGTGTGGAATTCCTTGTCCACCCTACACATTTTAGAAACCAGGGACACCCTAAGGAGCTACGGGATTAAGACAAAAGGCATGTATAATATTGTCAATGAGTCAGGAATTGTAGAAGCTTTCTGCTTCCCTGTGCAGCCACCTTCAACGAAGGAAGAGATGGTTGACTGTCTCCAGATGAGCTTCACATAAATAACATCTGGACCCCAACTGATATCCTCTCTTGATGAGATTATCTTGTGTCAGGACAGCTTCTCTTGCTAAAAGCCAAGTAAAACATGCAACTTTGTATGGGATTCTTACTTTCCAAATCATCTTCCAAGGCCAACAACCAATCTGATTATTAGAGTGGTTGTACTCCTTGTAAGCTGATCTAACAGAGAACTTGCCTTCTTTACCCCCTTGCCAAAACACCCTATCCTCAGTGTTGGAGGTCCCTTTGAACTGTTCTAGAGTATTATAAAACCAAATATAATTGTAGATATCTGATTTGTTTTACTCTCAAATGTTGTTGCTATTAGTGTTCCAATGGTGATTTCTAATTCCAGCAGTATTAGTAAATTTTTATTAGCTCAATGTGTATGTCTCAATGTTACAGCATCCCGCGAGCGAATCTATAAGCAAATTGAAGCTGCCATTTCAAAATACCGAGAAATAAAGGAGAATATCAATGAGGGATTGAAGTTCTATGTTACACTTCAGGTATGAGATTTCGCATCTGTTAGGGAACTTTGAGGGGGGG